TGATGCAGCATATGAACCTAGACTATTCTTCCCGCAAATGCGGGGCGTAGCATATATATAGACTGCTGCTGTCGGGGTTATGTGAAGTTTTTATGTGGGTATGAAAGGCTCCCAGGTCCTATGGTCAGCGGGTCAGCAATATTCTCTGCACTACTGATGAGTCTTGAGCTACAGGGCCACCCACACTGAGCGTTAATTTGTCTAGAGCAAGGAGTCCTTCACCAGCCGCTACATTCTACAAGGACATAGGCATTGAGTTAGATTCCTACTGATAAGTAAAATAACGAATCCAGGGATAATAGTCACTGATTGGTTCGTGAAGGGGGACGATTCCCACGAGTTGCACCCGGACACGCTGAAGGGAGAACAACTAACTGAGAACAGTGGAATATGAACACTGCCGTAAAGGAAATCACCAAAATTGCCCGAATAGCTACCCCTCTACAGAACCTGGAAAAGACCCCCGCCAAAACCCAGGGGTAGTGCCGTGCAGTACAATCCCAGTAATAGTAGCCTCTGTCAAGTTCAGTAGCCAACACTTAAGTCCGTGATCTAACCCAGGGTTAGTTGTTAAACGACGATTGCAACATGTCAAAGGCCAACCACCTGGGCAACCATCCCCGCAGCAGTGGCCGACCCGAACTAACTAGCTAATGCGCGAACTGGGACAGCAGTGTGCGCAGGCAGTAATAAGTTTCCTGTCAACACTTTGTAGCCACGGTGCAGCTTGGTTTTAACCGGTGGATCCCAGATTTGCCCTGCTTTGGGAACCACTCTCAGCCGTGTTATTGTGCCATTTTGACGCGCCATTGTCACATATACACCAATTCCTCTCTCTTGTCCCCTTCTAGCAAATTCTACTTCGCGTAAAAGCAGCTGGCCTCCTCTCCTTTTTCTCCAGTCACCCTGGGAACAGCGGCTCACGGCTTGGAGTTCCGGGAGATGGGTCGGCCTGACGGGAGTTGCAGCGCACTTCGCTGCACGCCGTGATGCACGGCATCCCCAGAAGCAGGCACGACCAATATAGCGGTTTATCTCTGGCCTTAATCAAGGACAGCCGTGGTCTGCAGCAGGCCTCACCGGAAAACGGGACCGTGTACACACTAGATTTACGTTCTAGTAATATGTATCCACAATCAATATATATAATGCACAGGAACATACATGCATGTATACAAATATATATATTGTGTATAGAAGCGTATATCTATATGTATACGGGTAAACATACAAATATACGCACTGATCAAGCGCATAGGAGGTTGAGGCCCTAACGGTTTCACTTGAACACCGGCAGTGTACGCATCCCCCTCTTCGCAGAGAGTTATCGCCGGTAGAAATGAAAGAAATCTTTCCTTTGCAGCGATTTACCCGGTTAATCAAAAGAAATCAGTATCGATGGAGAAGATAATTTCTTACTGGCTAGTGCTCAGCGGAGCTTTATCGGGCCCCCCAACGTCGAGCATGTTGTTAGTGACTAAGCTAGAAGCTGCAGCTCCTAAACTTTGTGCACATTCGAAATCGCCAGATTCATTGGCTTTGACCTAGAGTTGTCTCTGCCATGGTACAGACGAATTTCTTCACGAGTTCCTCTTGAGAGAGCCGTCCTTGAGCTCGTAGGTGTAGCGAGCTATGCCTAACTCGGCTCCTGCATGTGGAGCCGTAACTGACTACAGTAGTACCTGTCTGCATGCAGAAAACCTCATATTCATACCTTAACAAACACAATACAACTTACTGCAGAATAATAGTTCTCTTAAAGAGGAGATCTCCTGTTGCTCTCCAGTGCGCTGATATCCTCGATGCCGGCTGTGTCACTGCCAGCCCTAACCGGGGGCCCGGTCACGGCGCATCCAAGGCCTACCTCGTACCGCGAAACCACTACAAACCAAGGCTTTTTGTTTAGTTGCTTTTACGTATACAATAAAGTCTTCTAGATCCACGTACCTGAACCCAATGTGTCCTTGCGGCTCAACATTTTAACGCCCGGCACTACAGTACTAGGAGGGGAAACGGCTCCCGATTTCAGTGGCTCCCTCATCGGTTTGCAGCGTTTCCCTCCACCTGCATATTGCCAGTCAACGTTGAACGTAATACCGGGGTATTTATCTGCATTGTAAACCCCTGCTGGTTTTGGTCCCGCAGGCCGGCAGCAGTTGCGGCTCCCTGCACAAGTCCGCAACCAGATTACTTTTCCAAGCGTTCCCTCTTCTTCACTGCTTTTCTTCGGTGTAAATTCGCGTAGAAGGCAGTACTGGTTTAAACACCGTCCCTTTGTATCGCTGCCCGTTCGGTGATATGCAGACAAACGCAAGTGAACAGCGATTGCACTCGAGACTGACTGATGATAAATAAATTCCGCTTGAGATGCAGATGAGGGCTGCTGAAGTCAATATTTCCTGCTGAAATATGTGTCGCTTTCTGTTGTCAAAATGACGTATATGGAACAATGCAGCAGCTGTTGCAGCAGTTCCAATGGGGCGTCTTCTGTAGACGCCCCCTGTCGTGCGCGTGCTTTCTGCACCATTTTCCGCAGTACCCAACTTCGCACAGTTGGCGGGGGCTCCCAGGCGTGCCCTTGACTTCAGATGTTGTTTTCAGAGTTGGCAGCTGGTCTCCGCCAGCGCTGGCAGGTTGCGCAGGTTTGCCCGTTTCTGTATTTGTTAAAAATGATGGAAGGCGTTCGATTACAGGGCTTGCCGCCGCTAAAGTCTCTGCTCTCCCCATATCCCCGGACTTGCAAGAGGGGCTGCAGCGTTTGGGTGTTCGGAGACTTGCTGAGGTGCAGCGAGTTTGTCTTCTTCGTGCATTGGGGGGCACCAGCCTCGTTGTCGCTGCNGGAGACTTGCTGAGGTGCAGCGAGTTTGTCTTCTTCGTGCATTGGGGGGCACCAGCCTCGTTGTCGCTGCAAATCCAGGGGCTGGGAAGACGTTGGCGTACCTTCTTCCTGTTCTACAGCGGTTTGTGGCTGAAGACAGGCGACGCCCGCTGGATATGTCAGAGGGGTCACTAGCGTCTCCTTTCGCGCTGATATTAGTTCCTTCTCGGGAGTTGGCTAGGCAAGTGGCCAACGTTGCAATGGCCCTGCTGCCGTCCGCGCCAGTGGTGCTGCTAGACCCTGCGTCTCCCGTACGGCAGCACCAACAGATGCTCAGCCATTTGTCTGTCAGGATTGTCGTTTCTACACCTGATAGGATCCGCTCACTGATGCGGGAAAGGCGTCCACAAGCTTCTGCAACCGGCAGGGCAGAATACGCTGAGCCAGTTTACCTCAGCTTGAAAAACCTTCAAATATTAGTTGTCGACGAGGCAGACTGCATGATGCGTCGGGACTACTACTCTAAGGTGCAGTTCATATATAGGACTGCCATGGACTGCAAGGCCAGCGCGGAGAAGTCTGGAGAAAGGTTCCGAGATTGCAGGAGCTCTCTCCAGTTACTTTGCTTCAGCGCCGTGTTGCCTACAAACTTGCTCGCTACCTTCGAGGCAGACTTTCCGCAGGCCGAAGTTCTAAACCTGCTAGACGCTGCTAAGTATGGGACGGAGGGAGGGCTGAGTGGGAAGCACCAGGGGTTCGCAGAGGCGCCCTCGAACGAAAACGGCTCCCCAGGTGCGTATCCATGGAGGAGTTGCATGTTTGCTCGGCGTGCACTCGTGCAGCTCGACTGTAAAATTGTGACCGTGTGCTCCTTGTTCTTCCCATATGGACAGGCAGTGCAGTCGTGGGAGCTGGCGTAAGGCACCATATTTGTTACATACCT